GGGGTATAAAAACCTATACATACCGTATATATCAAAGGGATAAGGTCATTAGAATTCACACATTGTTGCGAACATGGTAAAACTAGCAGCTCGCAAGAGTGGTTATTTTTGTTTTTTCTAGCCACCTTATTGCATGTAGTTCGGTAGTTTGTTACCAACTTACCGTCCATGAGATGTCACAACTCACATGTATAGTGTAATAATTGTAACAATTGGAATTTTGCACAATTCATTACTCTTGTTTGACCCAATAATATGATTTATATATCAAGCAAAATATAGTTAAATACTTTCACAATATCAATTTTTTTATAATTTTTACTCTTATATAATTATAGATATTTAATATATAAAATGTGTTTTGGGATGCGTAATTTCATCATTGTTGTAATATTATTGAAACGGATAAAGTATTAGTATGGCCATACAGGTACTTCAATTTGTTTCTCAATTTTCTTCATTTGCTATTTTTTACATTCTTTAATTTATTCTATTCAAATTTAGTTGCTATTATTTCAATTTATGTATACTATATAAGTCTATATGGAGTAATATATATATATTATTTGAATGTTGATATCTTAATATATATAAACATTGCCAGCGTTATATAAATCTTATATATCAAATTTAGATACATACTCACCAAAAATAGTAAAGTGATGTTGAAAATTAAAGGAAAAGAAAAAACTGAAAATGGTACTCTGTAGTACGTAATAGAAATAAAGAAAATACTTAAGCAATACCATGCTAAATTTGGAAAGAAGAATTGTGGATTGGTGTAAAAGGTGAGAACGTCTAGTAGTTTTTGTCAAATAAGATTGTTGTCAAAACAATAGAGCTTTACTATTATGGAGCAGTATTTTAGCTTGTCTTCTTTGTGTGTGGTTGACCAAAAGCAATTATTTGTTTTTTCACCTTTTCGGTTTTATTCCACGACTTAATTACTACGAAGTATAAACAATTAACAAAGCACAACCAATTGGTACGAAAATTGAAAAAACCAGGTGAACTTCGCTAAGGCATATTATGTTGTGAATTGTGATGGCCTAAACAAATTCGACTTGTGGTATTATATTTTCTAACATCTTACAATAATTATTTAGATGCAATTTGTTCTCTTATGATTAGTAAATCATAGGTAATTCAGTTGGTTCAAGTAATGAGATATAGGTCCAGTTCACTTCACCTTATTTTTGTAGAACTGAAATTATTTTTACTGAACTGAAATTATTTTTACTGATTCTCTGTTGTACTTCTTCTTTAAAGTTACTGATTTTTACTGAACTGAAATTATTTTTACTGAACTGAAAATATTTTTGCTGAACTGAAATTATTTTTACTGAATTAAAATTATTTTTAGTGAATATTTTTTTTAAGGTAAAGTGAATAGGAGGACCATAAGGCTCAAATTAAACTTTATGGCTCTATATACTTCGCCGTTGTACGTATAATCTAGCGTATATATAATTAGGATTCATTCTAATTTCTAATTCATATAATATTGTTACATGTAAAACTATTTTCGATGCCTCTGTCAAAAATTACATGTATCACAATTACTAAATATACTTGTTAGTGCACAATTCAACTTGTACTATAAATATCTTACATACTAATATTTGTTTTCGTATATCAATTAAAAAATTATAGTCATATAGAGATATGCAAATAGTGAAAATAATGTATGCGGGATAATTTAAAATGGAGCTGAGGGAGAATACAATACAAATAGCGTGCTAAGACTTTGGCGCGTAAGGCAAAATGAGAAAAGAAAAAAGAAAAAAAGATCCTACGAAGGAGATTTAATAAAGTAGCATTAAAAATAGAGGTGAAATACGTGGCAGACCGGCCTCGCAATAAAGAGAAGAGCGAAGTCTTGGAATAGAAGAAAGGATAACGTGGCGGCTGATGATAAATAAATAGGGATTGATGGTTTTAAATACGTACGTAATTCCTATAACTAGAAGCCATGGACCGTTACATTTCACACCCTATTTTCTTAAGTCAACATTTTCTTATTTCTATAGTGTGAAACATAAAATAATAGAGTTTGTCACTTCAATATTCAAACATGATTGTTGCATTATGTAATATTGATGCATCCACTATTATTATACCTTGCTTTTAGTTAATTGTACCCCTAGTAAATGAGGAAATCACATTTTAGGAAACCTTGCTTTCTCTTTTTAGTTAGGAGAATAACTATAATCATTTGGTGTTAATCATATTACATCATCTAAAATAAAAGAATACTAATAAAACTAAACGGCTATATATAATTAGTAACTCGACACAATTAGTCGATTCATTAACCACAAGAAAATTCATACGTATTTGATTTGAAAGAATATGCTTTAATATAGTTTTGGTAAAATGTCTGTTTGTTTTAAAATTAGTTTATGTTGATTTTTTTTTTTTTTTGAGCTTATGTTGAGTTTAATTAGTGTTTGACATTGTGTAATTTTGATCATCAATAATAACTTTAATTATTTAAAGGTAAATTTGTTATAATAAGGCTTGTTTCTATTTACTTTATTTCCACTTATTTTAGGAATACGATTTCAAATTCAAATAAAAATAACTAAAGACCAGGAAATTAAAAATAAGTTTTAATAAGCGTTACAGTTGTTATTAAAATCCCGACCAAATCTTAGAATCTTACGATTTTACAATTTATATACGTCATACGATTCGATTCATGATTCTACCCGATTTTACATATTTTTCTTAACTAGCAAAATCCTAACAAGTTTAAAACATGCCTTCAAAGTTATTTATAAATATATAGTGTGAATTATTGTTTGTTTAATGGGTAAACATCTACTTTCTTTTAATAATTAGGTTTCAAACTTATAATTTAAATATATTTAATTAAATTTGGATATGACGTCCTGATTATGCATGTTCGTAGAATTTAAGAGCCCCTTCCGATTCAAAGTAGATACCCGATTTTGATAACTTTGAGCGTTACCCAAGAATAAATTATAATTGTAATAAATTCTAAAAAGATTTAATAAGATTAAGTAATATAACCCTAAACCCTGAGAGTGAGGGATAACTTAAGTGGTTAGAGCTCCCCTCCCGGTGCCAGGTGATCCTGATATTGATTCTCATCACATGTCCTTGTGGCTCTTTAAACACCAAAAAAAAAATATAAGCCTAATGTCTTGAAAATTTTAACACTTATTGTTATGTATTGTTATTGTAGTCGTGGTCATTATACTAGAGTAACTTAGTGAGGCGTGACCTAAAAATTCTTGGTCTGAAAATGGTTTTAAACTACTACTATTTCACGAAGTTGTTAACCAACTTCTTATACGCAGTCTTTGTGCCCTGAACTTACTAACTTCAGCTTCGATTTTCTCATCGGATGGAAAATTAGCAACCTTAGCCTCCTTTATTTGGTACGTACTACATTTCAGATTATATATTGAGTTATGTGCTCCAAAATGTCAACCATTTTGCACATTTTTCTCACTAACTTATTTTTTAAAACAATTTTAATTATCGGCTACTTGCCTACTACTAGTACTCATAATTTAAAATCTTATCTAGTGAAATTCTAATCTTGTTTTTTGATAAAAATACAAATATATTAAAATAATAAATCTATAAAAAAAAAAAACGAGTATAAGATTCCACATTAGCATCAATGATTATTTTTTATAGCACATGTCAGTATTAGAAAATGAAATATGCAAAGTTCACAATAAAAAAAGGTGTTCCCTCGGTAATTTTTTATAATTTTTTTTACAAAAATTATAGTCACAACTTATATCAAGATTGGATAAAGGAGGATGACAGAAAAAATTCTATTTGCCAAAAGTAAAATAGACGGAGTAAAAAAGTAGTAGCAGCCTAAACGAAAAAGATGGAAAACGCAAAAGAAATTGAATAATGGGAATACGTAGTATATAATTTACCCGTAAGCTTCTTGTATTAGAAATAAAGCAAATATTCACATGCAAAAATTTTGATTCAAAGAGTCAAAATTCTGAATAATACTAGTACTAATATTCACATGCAATAAGCCTGACATCATTTGGAAGTTTTTTAAGAGTCGAACTATTAAAAGGAAGTATGGTCGTATTACCCTTGCTTCCCAATTGAGCTGAAATCTTGAAAAATATAAATTTAGTCACTCCGAAAAAATTTGGCAACCGAATAACATTATATTAATCACGTCACTATTAGAAATTTTGGCTCATTTTGGTCCATTTTTCTTAGAAATCATGTGTAATTAATTAAAATCTTTGATTCATATTCATCCATATGTAGAAAAAAATGTATAATACTCCTACAATCTCTATTAGATCACATTTCTCTTTGGAGTTATTTTTAATTTATCGACTTTCTAAATTAAATATGTTAAGCTTACTACATAATTTAATATGTATATCTTAATCGATGACAATTTTAAGAAAAAACACATATTGTGTGATGATGTATACATAAAAATGCAAAAACTTAGCTCGCATGAACGGAAAAAACTTTAATTGTGAAATTTGTTAATGATCTATGAGTATGAGATATTATTTGAACTTGAGAGATGGCTGGGGAATACAAAGGTGACAAATTATATAATTTTTTTTTTTTTTTTGTTGCAATAAAGATAAGTCCTTGTGAATTGGATCTAAATGTATTATGATATGAGGTTGAAACTTTATTCAAATGATAATTTTTCATAAATCTAAATGACATAATTAGCTAAGCTAATTTCAAATACCAGTATGTTTAATTTTTTTATTACACGATGACTTTCTAAATTTTAAAAGTGAACACAAAATGACTAGCACAAGTAAAAGTCATAATTCCAAGCTTCTAAAAAAGAACGAAAAAAAAATCATAAACAAATAATATAACAGCCAGGTCACACAGGCAAGATTTTCGAAAATACTCCGTATAATAAAAAGCATTTAAAAAACAATCACGATTGATAAATATCCCACGTGTCCCCCTATCCCCACCCACCTTGAATCTACCTCTACCCCCACTCTCCTTTCCCTATTTAAACACCATTCTCCTCTTCCTTTACCCCAATTTAATTCTCTCCATTTTTCAAACTTCTCTTTTTAGCTCATCAACAACAACAACAACAATCACAAACATTCTCTCTCACAAAATAATAATAATAAACCTTAGCTCTATTTCTTTGTACCATCACAAAAAAGTAAAACTGACATTATTATTATAGATTGTACTATTAGTGCAATAATGTCTCCACTAATCGAAACGAGATTAGTTGATCATCATAACAACTGGAGTAGCAGTAACTCCCCTCGCCGAAGAGTGAATTTTCGACAATTGTTACAGCACTCTTCCGAGGAGGAGACGGAGGATAGCCGCCACTCGTATTCGAGTAGCGCCAGGCAAAGTAATGCTTCTGTTGAGACATTCTCAAGCAGTAGCAATAGTCCGAGATTGAGTAGTTTTAACTACACCGATGAGAATTATTCAACGACTACAAATTCATCATCACCTTATAATAATATCATCATGTCATCTCCTTCGCCTTTGATTCATCAATCATCTCCTTATTTGAAATCACCTTGGATTAAGCTATCCCCTCTTCAGATACACCCTGCAACACCCAGTCATTCGTCAAGCGACGACACGTATTTTTCTCGAGGGAGGAAGTGTTTGATTGGTTCACTTCTTCGCGAGGAAGGACACGTGTACTCGCTAGCCGTCAAGGATGGGATGCTGTACACCGGGTCTGAATCCAAGAATATTCGGGTTTGGAAGAATTTCCATGACGCGGGCGGGTTCAAGTCGGGTAGCGGGTTGGTGAAGGCGATCGTCATTTCGAAAGACGAGCAAGTTTTTACCGGACATCAAGATGGGAAGATCCGGATATGGAACCCGAAAGGAAAACGGCTCGGTACGCTTCCGAAGATGGGAGATTACATCAAAAGCTCAATGAACCCTAAGAATTACGTCGAAGTGAGGAGGCATCATAAGGTGCCTAAGATAAAGCACTTTGACGCGGTTTCATGCATGAGTTTGAACGAAGAGTTTGGACTTTTGTACTCGGGGTCGTGGGATAAGACCATCAAGGTATGGAGAATATCCGACGGAAAATGCTTAGAGTCATTCGAGGCGCATGATGATGCAATCAACTCGATCGTAGTAGGGTACGACGGACTGGTCTTTTCGGGTTCCGCGGACGGGACCGTGAAGGTTTGGAGACGAGAGTTGGATGGGAATACTGTTAGACACATCCATGTGAGGACGTTGTTAAAACAGGAGAATGCTGTTACCGCGTTAGCGGTAGCAGCAGACGAGGAGAGTGGCGGCTGGGTGTTGTACGCCGGGTCATCCGACGGATTGGTGAATTTCTGGGAGAGAGACGAGGAGGAAGGGGTGGTGTATGGAGGGGTGTTGAGAGGGCATAAGTTGGCCGTGTTGTGTTTGGGTACGGCGGGGAGTTTGGTGTTTAGTGGGTCCGCGGATAAGACTATCTGTGTATGGAAGAGAGAAGGTGATGGGGACCACTCTTGCTTAGCTGTCTTGTCGGGCCATAGTGGGCCCGTCAAATGTCTAGCCGTCGAGCAAGACAAAGACGACGACGACAACGACGGTGGTGGTGATGATCAACGACGGGAGTGGATTGTTTATAGTGGTAGCTTGGATAAGTCAGTCAAGATATGGCGCGTGTCGGAAGACGCGTTCGAGGATGAAACTACGTACTAATGTTATGTTGAAGTTGAACCGTAATTTGATTGATTGCGTGTTTAAAACTTTTTTCACATTGTGTATGTGGTGGTCCGTGTTAGAGGTGTGAATTGAACCATGTGGCTAAGGAAGTAGCCTAGACTAGACTAGCCGCCGTAGCTGCCACCGGGTATGGTTGTACATAAATTAATGATCGTTTGATTGATTGATGACACGTGGAAAAAGTGGAGTTCACGCGCCGCTGCCGCCGAGGGAAAAGGGTGACAGTGTTGGTACATGGAAATAGAAAGTGACCGGCCACCGACCGACCCCTTTGGAAAATAGAAGTGCGGAGCACGCTGGGAATCCAGGAGAGCCAAAGGAAAATTATATGGTTATTGGTCCCCTGTAGCAACGTTACAAAACTTTGTATTTAATTTTTGATAGAGATTTGGAAAGTTGCAACATTAAATGTATAGTAATAAAAACACACCATATAAAGGATTTCCTGCCGAATCTTTCGATGTTGAGAATCGCTTTCTGAGGGTTACTCTTGCCATAAACGAGAAGAAAAGGCATATATATGGTGTGTGTTGTTTAATTTGTTGTTTTTGAATTCTAGTATCATTGGTCTATTGTTAGCTTGTAGTCGAATATTCTTTTCTTCGTTAATTAAGATGAATGACTCAACTAAGCCTTATCTGTCGACCATTTATTTGTTGGTTCACGAATTGTATAGGTGCAATTTCTTTCTTTCATTACTTTGTTATTACAAGTACAGTATGTAAGCTTTTAATTATATGATGAATGTAACATGCAAATTAGAAAGTGTAAAGCAAATTTGGCATATTTTAAAATTTAGTATGAACTGTATTAATGGTTTGATTCTTGGCTATGGTTGAAAGCTAAGATTGCTTAATAGTAAATGACTGTAAAGCGGATTTGGTCAAAAAGGCAGCACCTAATTGTGCAATATCAGGGAGTATTTAATAAGGATATGGTAATAAGTATTGGAAAATTAACAATGTCACCTTTTTGCCTACCTCCTTTTGGTTTAAGAGTCGGCGGTTTGTGTTCGCTATAGCAGAGACCAAAACGTGCGATTACATGAAAAACTATATAGTAATATTAATTTTCAACGGATATAAGCACACAATATTTAGTCTGTTTATACTCCATAGCAAGTAAATTCAAGTTAAGTTACATTAAAGCTTTTATTGCTTTATATTGTTTTGAATTTGACTCGAAAATTATACGAGTCAAGTTGAAGTTTCCAATCGAGCTTTACAATCAATTCAAACTTGATTTAAGTTGTTAAGGGCAAGATATAACATATTTTCTCTCCAACTTTTAATTAATGTCAATGAAGTTGTCATTAGAATTAGTTGATAAGGTTCAAAATGGCATAATTTAAGTTCATTTGGATAGAGTGTATTAAGTTTGAGCTCTTGCTCTACTATGCAACTATACTGAATGGTTAGGAGAAAACAAATCCAATATCGGAACATCTGTCTCTAAGCTAATTCCATTGATATCAATCACTCAACCTTGAGATCGCTCCAAATTTATTGTAAGTAATAGAAAATGTAGGAACAAATGTATTTTAGAGAAGAGTGGAATAATGGGAAGAGTAAAGAAGACTTAGCTTGGTTTATATGAGCCCAAAAATATATTTACAAAAGCTAGACTAAATAGTGGTTTAACAATTTCAAGTGTCATAACCATGTTCATCGATGTTTTTTTTTTTTTTTTTTTTTTTTTTTTTTTTTTTTTTTTTTTTATGTTACCTTGGAGGTTTGTATTAGTTTTTTGGTATAGAAAGAGGCGGATAGCTAGATTGATGATGAGATTTGATCCATCCCTTGTTTTGCGTGCCACGTTCGATAGGGGGGGGGGCTGGTAGGAGCATAACTGCCCTACAAACATCGTGTTGTAATTAATTTGTAAGTTATTTTACATTTCTAATGGCAATGTTTCAATAACTCACAAGCACAATCCGTTCCTAAAAGTTTAACCAACTAATTTATCGAGTTGACATAATATCTTCAAGATTTGTATTAGCAAAGTCCAAATTAACTGCACGAAAATCATCAAAACTAAGCTGCACTCAAACTTTAGGTTAGACTAATATACTAGCCTCCCAAAATCTTAAAAGTTAAGATGCAAATGAAACAATAGCAAGAACATATTCATATAATTACTTTTTAGCCGTTGACATAATAATCAACAACCTAATAAGCATATTCTCTCAAATAAAATAATACAAACAAAATAAGAATAGCGGAAAACTCACATGCATGATGCATAAATAGATAGATAATTTGATGATGATGATGCGTGTTGTTTTATAAGGTACATTAATAGTGCGCCCATAAATTAATATATGGTCCCATATTATACAGTATGACTTTTGTTATTTAACAACAACAAAAAAATGATTATGACCGTTAGCGGCTAATGAAGTTCTTGCCATTCAATTCGTTCTATGTTGAGACTTCACAACCACTCAAACACAACTACAAAAAAAGTTAACCTATTTTGTAAATAATTTGATGTTATTTGTTGTTTTGCACACCAATAAATATTGTATAAACTCTAATCACTTTCGGTACCTTCCTTAGAAACTTAGCCTTCCCCTCAAAAAAAAGAAACTTAGCCTCTACATCAAGATTTGATTTCTTTGGTTGGTTTTTAAGTCCGTAAAGCGGCGCCTTTTCGGTTTTGTAAAACTCGAAACTTGATTAAGAAATTTCATTGGAGTGTATGAAGGATGTTTTTTAATCTAAAAATGTGTCTTCTTTTTGCCTACCTTGAGGTTTAATGTTGGCCGTGAATGTAGATCTGTGATAGGAGTAGTATAGCATGAAAGTATGAATGAGTTTCAAGCTCAAAAAGGGTTTAAGCTATGTTTAGCTTTATAGCCTTTTTACCTTTCTCAAGTTTGCAACATTATTGGTGTGAGATTTGGCTTGATTTGCTGACTTCAAGTATCCTAACAACTTAATGGTCCTAAGTGAGGTATAGTAGACTTCAAGTTCAATGTTCATCACCCCTATCGACGCGGGCTATTTTATAGTCTTTGTAGACTATAAATCACTCCGACTCATTCTTGACCTATTACTCAACTAACAAAATGTCTTTTTAAGCATGTACATTATATGAAAATTAATTAATATACCTTAATGTTTAAAATTAAAAAGTAAATGTACAAGGTTAATAAACATATCACAATGCATCAATATTTTATACTAGCATGATTAGATATACGGATAATGTCATGTGAAACCAGGGAAGCCAGTGTAGTATATCATTGACTTTTTGTACCTTGCCTATCAAATAATAAGGTTTAGTGGTTCTAAATAATTGCTACTTTGGTAATTTTGCATCTGGTTTGTATAGGTTATTTATGTGATTTAACAAACACATTGTAGTATTACAATAAATATCAAACCTTAGCTTCTTTGTGAAAAGCTCTACATGTTTTTTTTCTGAGAAGTAAACTCTATTCAACTGTGGTCTTGTTTCTTAGGACGATAAAAGTGTATTACATGCAGTTCTTTCTAATGTAAGCTATTTTTAGGATTTTAGTATTTTAGTATTTGTACATACTATGCTTCTTATAAGGTGAACGAATGAATAAGAGGAAAATACTTCTTATAGTCATATAGAGTCCGAATATGACTTTGTTTCTTGTGCTTGTGTAATATAGCAAAGTCTAGCACGAGGTCAGTGTGTGTTTTGTTTTAGGAGGGGGGGTGGTAGGTGTAGGTAAGGAGAAGGGCCTAACAGACCGGAACCTCTCACAGGTCAACTTGTCTCGGGTTAATAGATAAGACCCTTTGAGAGCGGCGGAAGGGTAAGACTCAAAGGAGAAGTTGGACAATTGGACATTAGATGCTTCACCATTGAGTCATGAAAAAAGGAAATAAATTTGCCCAAATCTAATGTACAAAGTGAATGGGTTGGAAATAAATTTGCCCAAATCTAATGTACAGAGTAAATGGCCATATTGGCCAATTACGACAATGATTTAACTGGGCTTGAAGTGACATTAGCCTGACAATACTTAAGTTAGACTGGACCCAGCTGTGTGGACTGGGCTTTAAGGCTGTGATGTTGAAACTAAGTTAAAATAAAATCAGACCGATTCAGAAATTAATAAAAAAAATAATGGGCTAGGTGTCCATTACCCACCTTAACCTCGAAAAATCAGATTCATCTAATTCTTAATGTTTGAATGTAAGATGGTAAAAGGGAAAGACAATCAATCAATCAATCAATAATAACTATATACTAAAAGACACATTAGCAATAACACATGTCATTTTTTGGTGTCTTAAAAAAAAAAAAAAAAAAAAAACTTATTTAGGAAACAAATCTTATACATAAATAGAAGATTAAAAAGATTTAATGTATCCTTCCACAATATATATCGATACCATAAGCTAAAGTAAAAAAAATGAAAATCAAATTCTTAACATAATTTGTGACATACATAGTGCTATATACTACTCTTACCATTTTTACAACAAGGATTATTTTTTAAAAAAATATTTTTGTATTTATCTATGTTTGAAAAGCTTGCTAGGAAAGATATGAATTTTTTTTCTAAGGCAGTTGATTATTGAGAAAAAAAATAAATACCGCATAAGAGGGAATAGATTAATAGTATGTAAAAAGTAAATCTATTTACGAATTAGATACATAGTTGTAAGATATTCATTTGGTTAGAAAAAATGATATAAATTAGTTAGTGAAATATATATAAATATACATATATGTGTATTTTAAATTATCTTTTTGCTATAATAGACTCTTTCATAATTAATTCATTTTACAAAGTAGTAACTTAAATAGATTTTTTTTTATAATTAAATATAGTGTTAATAATTATAGAGTAGTTATTGAAAATTACCGTGCATGGCACATGACCTAACCTAATTTGTTACAAAAGAATTTGATTCACATCATGCTTTCGATAAATATTGTTTTTACTCTCTATTATGCTTATACTAGATGAAGCTCGTGCGATGTACGGTTTGTTTGTATTTTTTTATAACTTTTTTTTCTATGCTTGTGATAAAATTTGTTACTTTATTTATTCGTTGTATGTAATATATCATATTATCATTTAATATTTTTATTTTATTTATTTTAAAATAAATTGTAAATTTTCTCTCATTCGTTATATATTTAGATGAAATTCCTAATATCAAAAGATAATATTTTACATTTATTAATTAAATTTTAAAATTTCATTCGCCAATTTTATTTTGTTAATGTAGAACTTAATTTTTAAGACGAATAAATGATTAATGATGAACATTTTTTTTTTTTGCTAGAAAAAGAGAAAGGATATATTTTTAATTTCAATGATTTTTTCTTATTTTTTGTATTTAATTTAAAACTTTTTTTTTGAGAGAAAACTGATATTTTTTTAATTAAACGTGATTTCATATTTTTTATTAGTATATTTTTATAAATTAAATTATTTTTTTCTCTTAGGTAAAATTTTCAATTTAAAAAGATAGTATTTTATTTTTATAATAAATTTAAATTTTTTATTTTAATCTTACGTGGTGCTTTAAAATTACAATCTTATGTGACATAATCCTATACGTAACGCTCTAAAAATACTAATCCTACATGGCGCTCTAATAATTTTTTAAAAAATCAAAATTCTAGGTGGCTCTCTAAAATCTGGGAAAAAAACTCCCCTTTATATAA